GTTTTCAGAAGGTTCGGAGTGAAAATCTATAAAGAAATGTTTTGGTACTTTTTCCCACATCAAATGATACTTTTCTAATTTTTCATAATATTGAACATAAAATCATGTTACGATTAAAGGGAAATTGTATGGAGTTTTTGGTACTTTTTCGTAGATCAAAACACATGAAATTAAACATACAGGGTCCTGAATGATGAGAATTTATTAGATGGAACTTGCGTTCTTCAAATGGTACTTTTTGAATTGTCGTTTATAATGAACCTAGGAACAAAAATCTAACAGAGTTCTGAGTGAATCAGTATCTATAAAAAAGGAAATTGTTGGTACTTTTTTGTTTTTCAAATGGTACTTTTTCCTTGGCAGATTTTGGAAGAAGAACTGAAAATTCTGTTTTATATAATTTCGATTAGGATAGTGTTGTTGCTAGTGTCTTTCTGCACTACTTAGCAAAATTTGGATTTCTATATAAATTTCTGAAAACAATAATATATAAAATAACTAAAAAATGCTTTTCAACATTCATCTACCATACAATACAAAATATGTTGCTAACACTATAATAAATAGGCGGAAATTTAACTCATTTCAACAATTTCAGAATTAATTTAACTTTTTCTTAATTTCTTCTACTTTAAAATGTTAAAATGCCTACAATAATAACAATACAAATATCTATAATAATGTAGGTCAAAACTTTAACTTTATCTTTAACAAAAAAAAAAAAGAAAGAAATACGAGAAAAAATGCCTACATACACTCTGTTATATATTAATGACAAAACCCCTGGTTGGTTTTGTTTTGAATATCACCAAAGCGACAAACAATTGTTGCTGTTGATAGACAGCATGTATGTAGGTATGTTTGTAGATATCATCTTTTTAGGTAAAATTATATGATATTGTTAAAACGTGAGATCCCCTTATAAGTAAGTAAAATGATAATTTCTTTGAAAAAAAAAAGTTTTAGTTAATGTGGTATTGTGCTACAATATATGACATTATAGTACTTGTAGTCATACAAACAAACTCAAATAAATAACTTAACATTTCCGTTGTAAGTGGAGATGTTGTTTAAGTTAAAGTCTTTAAAGATGGTTTACAAAAGTGTGGTTGGTGTTGGTAGATGAAATTAAATTTCTATTGCTAAAGTTTCTTTTTTAGTTTTTAGCTTTGTACATTTTTTATTTACTTTTACCTATGTGCACACTTTTTTGCCAGTTTTATTTTCTTCAAATAACCTTTAGCAAAAGAAAAAAACAAAGTTTAGCATTTGTATGCCAAAACCTTGAAAATAAATTAAACAATAGAAATATTTGTCACATTAACCTGGCTTAGTGTGGATTAGTCTAGTCACAATCGGTCTTTGAAAACATTAAAAACACTTTAAAAACAAAAGACTTAAGAGCCATACTCTAGTTACTGTGAACTCAAAATAATCTATTGTTTAGCACTTTATACAAATCGATTACAATTTGAAGCTGCCACAAATACTAAAGAGAAAATTTTGCAATAATAGCATTTTCTCACCTTTTTATTTTGTTTTTAAATCCTCTAAAATTGCAAAAATGAAAAGAAAATAAAAATAAAACAAAATAACACATAAAAAATAGCAACGACCGCTATTAAACTAAATAATAAAAGAACTGGTAAACTAAAAAAAAAAGTAAAATGATAAAAGAAAAACACTTTAAAGTATAAAAAAAGCATAAAACATAAAACAAAAATAAGTGCAATATGCAGAGGACAGACAAAATCGGTTGGTCTGTGAAAGAAAAAATAAGACTTGTAGTTTGGTTTCATGCCATAATGGAAGTTTGTTTATTTTTTTGTTTTAACATAAAAGACAGAGTTTTAAAGGAATTAATTTTGATAAACGATTATTGTCATTTTCACAAAAATTCATCACAAAATATAAATTTTTCTATAGTAAAATTTCTAAAACTTTTGTATTCTTATAGCTTTCAAACTAGTTAAATTAAGTTCTAAAGCTTTTTTCCAATAATAAAATCTTCCAAAGTAGTTTTTCAACTATAAAGCTTTTTAAAATGGAATTCTAAAATGAAAGTTATTTAAAGCTTTGTTGAAGTAAAACAATTTACAAAAGCTGTTTTAAATTCCCTCTCTTAAGCTTTTTAAAAATCTTTTCTTTCAAAAATCACATTTTAAAGCTTTTTTCAATTTAAAATTTAGGGTTTTTAATTTTAAAGGATTTAAGTTAATTTACAAAAGTTTTTTTTTTTAAATTGAACATTTCCCAGGAGCTTTTTCACTTTTCAGTTTGTTTGATTCCTAAGCAAATCATTGTTCTCTTTTTAGTAATTGCTAAACCTTTTGAAAACAACATTTTAATTCAAAGCACTTTTTTAACTCTAAAGCTTTCTGAAGTTTTAAGCTTTCAACAAACTTATATTAATTTTAAAGTTTAATCAATTTCAAAACTTTTTAAAAGCTTTTTGCAATTCTAAAGCTTTACTGTAGTTAAATAATTTACAAAAACTTTCTTTGCTTTAATCATTGCTTAAGATTTTCAAATTTCTGAACATTCACATTCAGAAATTTTATATCGTTTAGTATTTTCCCTTTATACATATCAATCTATAAGCTTTCCAAAAAAGACATTTTTGAATTCTAAAACTTTCCAAGGACTTTTTCAATTCCAAAGCTTTTGAGAATTCTTAAGATTTTGATAATATTTTTTCAAGTTAAAACTTTAAAGATTTAAAAAAATTTACTTAAAATTCAAACTTTCTAAACATTTCTGATTACAAAGCTTCATTCAGATCTTTCCAAAAGCCTTTGCAAAAACTTTGTTTTCATATTAACTTTATATATATGACTTCATAACTTCTCCAATACATCAGGTTCTTGAGATATCGTATCCTAAAAAACTTAAATAATCGGTATTTGATCATATTTGAGACCTTATAAAAGCAGGAAGATGCCTTAATTTATAAAACCAGTTCTGTCGTCCGAATTTCCAAACTGTCGGCTTTAAAATAAAAGTTTAATCTCTGTCATACCTTTATCAATCTTCGACATGGAATGACAATGGAGCTAAAAATTGTGATTTTGTAATTTCATAATCGTTCCAAGCTTTAGGTTAGTATGTACAGTTTTGACAGTTTAAGTAGACAGATTGGACTTTCAGATATTTTATCAACAAAGATGTCTTTCGCACTGTTATAACGACTCAAATATATCTCAAAAACCTGATGTGATTCTGAAGTCAGATTAGGATTTATCGATACTAAATCCTTTAGAAAATTATACTTTAGTCCCTGGGTTAAAAATTTCTTCAACCGTTACCGACAGCATTTAGATTACGATATCTCAAAAAGTTGATGTGATTCTGAGTCCAGATTCGGATTTAGCAATGTTCAATCCTTTAGAAAGTTATACTTAAGTCTATGGGCCTGTGTAATTTATTTTCATTTTGCACTTTTTAGTAAAAACCGCACTTTTCTCTCTTAACGGCAAAGCCGGCAACCGTTGCAATTGTGTTTATACTAAAAAGGTTAAGCAGCAGTGTGAGTTCGTACAAGTTTTACCTAATTCAGACTTTTACTAAAAAAAACTGAGAGGAACTAAATTTTTTATACGCAATCTATATGCAGGTATCCACAAGTTTAAGGCACTGTTTATTTCTTAAGTTGATTTTGGTGGTGGCTTGATTGGTTTTATTTTTCATACCTATATTTTTTACACACACAAACAATATACAAGTTTATTGTAATGGTGATGACTATTTTTTTGTAATTTTTTAATTTTGAAGATATAAAAATTACCTTCAAAATAACGAAAAAGAAGAAATAAATATCAGTGGTTGGATAGTGGACGGATAGTAAATGGGATGCAAAATAAATGAAAACATAATAATGATGATGATGATGTTAAAAAAATAAACAAACATACACTCAAGCACACACAGTTACACACAAATATTGACAGTTTTACTTACAACAACAACCAACTTGGCTAATTGACATTAAAAAGTAAACAGCAAAGTAAATTAATAAAGTAGCATCACTTGAACAGCTGACTATTTTTTTTAAACTAGATAAATGCAAAGTATATTAATAAAGTAGCGACATCTCTTGTTGTACAACAACATCTACAACAACCACATGTATTTTGTTTTTGGAATAATTTAAGATTGTGTCAAAATAAAATTTCCTTGAACAACAATGTGAACAAAACATAAATAAAAAATATTACTTTTAAGTTAAAAATATTAACGATTTAATTATATTATTATATATTATACAATTTATTACACTTTTAAACTACTTTAAAACCACTTTTAATTCACTTTTTCAACTTTTCACAAATTTTAACAAATAGCAAAACACAATTTAAAAATGGCGACGAAAACAATGTTAACAATTTTCAAAACAAACTTTGACAATTTGCTTCATTTATCTAGTTTAAAAAAAATAGTCAGCTGTTCAAGTGATGCTACTTTATTAATTTACTTTGGATAAATGAAGCAAATTGTCAAAGTTTGTTTTGAAAATTGTTAACATTGTTTTCGTCGCCATTTTTAAATTGTGTTTTGCTATTTGTTAAAATTTGTGAAAAGTTGAAAAAGTGAATTAAAAGTGGTTTTAAAGTAGTTTAAAAGTGTAATAAATTGTATAATATATAATAATATAATTAAATCGTTAATATTTTTAACTTAAAAGTAATATTTTTTATTTATGTTTTGTTCACATTGTTGTTCAAGGAAATTTTATTTTGACACAATCTTAAATTATTCCAAAAACAAAATACATGTGGTTGTTGTAGATGTTGTTGTACAACAAGAGATGTCGCTACTTTATTAATATACTTTGGTAAACAGTAGTCAGGGTTTTTTCTCTTTTTTTTTTTTGGTCAATTAATTATTATAAACAAAGTTTTTGTTAAAATTTTTTAATTAAATAAAATGATGTTTTAGAAATTTTGTGATCCCTTAAAGGTTAAATAATGAATGGAATTTTTTGTATATATTTGAAGACCTACCTCTTATTATTATTAATTTTTTGTAAACGTTCAAGGTTTGTTGGTTTTTGAATATTAAGACACTTATTAAACAAAAACATAAAATTTTTAAAACAATTTTTTAATTAAATTTTATTTTTCACTTATTTTGTTATATTTGCAAATTTTTTATTAATTTTTTTGTAATAAACTTTCCAAAATTTAAAATACTATCTTAAGTTGTTTTATTTTTCATTTTTGTTTTTATTGTTTTTGTTTACACAAACGTTTTCTTATAACCGTTAACGCTCCGCACTAGTCCAAGTTTCAATTACAACTGTTGGTCTGTAGAGAAAACATCTCATGAAAGAGCTTTGAATGAAAATAATAAATAATAAGAGATGTGTGTTTTAAAAGCGAATAAAAAAAAATAATGAAATTTATTTAAATATTTTTACTAAATAATAAATTTATTGCAAACTTTTAATAAATATATGTATGTATATGAAATTGAATTTGTTTTAAGAATGTATTTTTTAGAGAAATCTTTTTTTATAGAAAATTATTTATTTCAGTGAGAAACAGTTTTTAGAGGTCGATAACAAAAATATATAAAATTTTAAAAAATCATGGATTTTTCTTTTGAAAATTTAAAATTAATTTAAATTTTTTTTAAATACCCGAATTATCCTACTTTGGGAACCTCTGGACCCATTCTCCCAATGTGCTTGAAATTCAAATTCGAAACTCAGAGATCAAAATATACCAATAAAGGATTAAGCTATGACTAAATGACTCAATTTAGGTTTTCCTGCCTAAAGAATGAAAATAAGTCCCTTATTTTGAGCCAAATTTGAGACGTTATAAAAGCGCGAATACACCTTTCTGTTGGGGAATTTGATCTATTGATTGTCTACTTTCATTTCCCGTTGGTCTCATTCGGAAAAGATTCGATGACACAAAACTTGCATTAGACGCAAAGTTGCATAGTGTAACTTGCTAAATATCGCCTTTCGCCGTAAACTAAAGGAAATATTTTGAATTTATAGTTCTTTAAACTTAAGGCTTTTTATCTCAAAGAGAACATATAGTTGAGATTATACTTTTATTTTAAAGTCAACAGATGCGACACATAAAGAAGGTTTTTTATAATAATATAAATTGGAGGCAAAATATATTAAAAATTCTCAAATGTCATTGAATATACTAGGGTTCTATAAATCGACTTTCGAATAATCGAACAATCGACTTTTTGTCGAAAAAAGTCGAAAGGTCGAAGTCGACTATTTTGTTCCAAAAAAGTCGATAACTCGACTATCGTCTATGAAAAAAGTCGAAAAGTCGACTTTGTAAATAAAAGTCGAAAAAAGTCGAAAAAAGTCGAAAAGTCGAAAAAAGTCGATAAGTCGAAAAAAGTCGAAGAAAGTCGAAAAAAGTCGAAAAGTCGAAAAGTCGGAAAAAGTCGAAAAGTCGGAAAAAGTCGAAAAGTCGAAAAAAGTCGAAAATAGTCGAAAATAGTCGAAAATTTTAAAAAAGTGGAAAAGAGGTCAAAAACTCTAAAATAGTCGGAAAAACTCGAAAAAAGTAAAAAATAGTCGAAAAAAAGTCGGAATAAGTCGAAAATAGTCAAAAAGTCGTAAAAAATCGAAAAGTCGAAAAGTCGGAAAAAGTCGAAAAGTTGAAAAAAGTCGGAAAAAGTCGAAAAAAGTCGAAAAAAGTCGAAAAGTCGAAAAAAGTCGAAAAGTCGAAAAAAGTCGGAAAAAGTCGGAAAAAGTCGGAAAAAGTCGAAAAAAGTCGGAAAAAGTCGAAAAGTCGGAAAAAGTCGAAAAGTCGAAAAGTCGACCATTTATAAAGTACTAAAAGTCGAAAAGTCTAAAAGTCGACTTTTAAATAAATGAAAAAGGTCGAAAAGTCGAAAAATCGACTTTTCATAAAATGGAAAAAGTCGAAAGGTCGAAAAGTCGACTTTTAACTAAATGCAAAAAGTCGAAAAGTCGAAAAGTCGACTTTTCGTTTCAACTATAGAACCCTAGAATATACCCAGTGTAATCGATAACCGCAAAAAACGTTATCGTTTTTATTTACTTTGTATTTATAACAGCTGGCAGCACTCAGTTTCTAAAATATAAACAAACGAAAATCAAGGCGAATTTAATAAGATGTCTGTCTACAGAAACAAGCTGCTTTTATTCAAAATGTATTAACTGTCAAATTACATATAATAAAAAACAATCTCACAAACACTCAAATGTCAAATTCCCTAGAAAAAAAACTAATGAATTCTACCCTAATATGATCTTACTAATATCGCCTTGAACAAAACCAATCGCGCTTTAATTTTTGTTTATTTATTTCTTTTCAAACTAATTTTTTTTAATTTGATGTTAATAAACTAAATTAGAATTTCAATAAAATAAAATGAATAATTCTTCACAATATGGAGATCGAAAACAACGCTATAAATTGCTATTGGATGAATCCAATCAGCTGCGTAAGTAAAAAGCTTGGAATGGTTGTTAGGAGATGATAAAAAACTTTTTGCTTCCTCTCATAGAACAAGGCATTGGTCATCAATTACCCAGTGAAACATGTCGGGCAGTGCAGAGTATTGTTCAGAATTGTGATAACATTCACAAAGAGACTCCGATTACGGAGAAGGTGGAAAATACTAGTGAAATTGTTATGGATGCCCAGCTAATGAAAAGTGTCCATGAGTCTGTATCGAAATTATTGCTTGCAAATTCAGAATTCAATGATGGCATGTACAGTAATGCAATAGTAAGTAGATGAGGTGGTGATTTTCATCCCTGTTACAGATTTTTTTATTTTCATTCTAACGACTTCGGGACATTGAATACAAAAGGAAATAGTTAAACACTTCATATTAGAGTTAATCTAAACTTCTGTATGCTGTTGTAACAGGCTACAACTATACATTAATCTAGTTGGGGGGTTCAGCATCAATGTCCAGCAATAGAATGTGTCCATAAATCCGTAGCTACCCAAATTAAGGATTATTGAATATCTGTAAAATTAAAAACGTTAATAACAAAAACGTCTTTGAAATAATACTGATCGGAAACCAATAACAATCCTTGAATAAACCCTAGATATGTATTATTTTTATTCCTTTAAGAGATATTCACATTTGAAACTAAACTCGATCGTAATAATAACTAAAGAATTGAAAATATTTGCCGTTCAAATGAATTTTCCTCTTTTCCTAGAATGCCTTAATATCACAAAATGAATCAGACAATTGGCGGGTGATAACGGAAATAGCTATGACTGTAGCTAGGCCCGCTTACACAAAATCTAGCATGTTGGGTGCCATCGATGTCGAGCCCAAAGAGCGTGTGGTCAAAGAGAAACAACAACGTCGTCGCACCGTACTAACACAAGAAAAACGTCCCGAAACTATAAAACAATTGAAACGTGATGATCGTGGAGCTGAAAAAGTTAATATTATCCTTAGACAAGTTAGTGATAAGTTTCGTGAGAATAATCGTGAACCTATACCATACTATCGTTTAATCATTGATCCACACAATTTTATGAATACAGTGGAGAATGCATTTCAAATTGCGTTTTTGGCTCGTGATGGAAATGTTGCTATAGAAACGGGTGAAGATGGTTATCCTCAAGTGCGTTTAGCGCCAAAAGATGAAATTCAAAGGCATACGGATACATTACAGGCCATTTGTTCCTTGAATATGCAATTGTGTCAGGTAAGCGCAGATAGTGAATGTTCGCTTTTAATTCATATTCTAAAATATATATTTTTTCACAGGAAATGATAGAATTCTATGAAATTACGGAACCAATGCTTGATGTACCTGATGATTTGGATGACAATGATAGCACTCGTATGAATAATGATGAAGACGATTAGTAAACTTAACTTATATTATAGTTCCAAAGTATTTTTAACAAAGTTAATTATTTTTTTATAACAAAACAAAACTATTATTTATAATAAATGTTAAGTGTTTTTGATATAAAATATTTTTGTAAAATAAACTAAAAAAGTTAAATTAACTCCAAAATCTAATGCTTACGTACTGCACTTGTTTTATAACATTGAAGAAGTCGTTTAGTTTTGTTTAGTTTTTTTTTGTATATTTTAAACTTATAATAATATTGTTTGCTAAATGAAATACATACATGTTTTAAATTTATTTATATTTTTTGCTTTTATGAAATATTTGTTTATTTTAAATATTTAATTTTAAAAGGCCAATTTTAGTTAATTTTAAGCAGAACTTCAAACAAAGAAACAAGCTTAAATAAAAAAAATTAATTGGCATTTCTTTCGCACAAAAATTATGTGTTGCAAGTACAAAAATATATATTTTTTACGTTATACCAACACACTTGAGTTTATTTTGTTTATTATTTTTCTTTAAGTTTAAGTAGAAAACAAATGCTTTTCAAAACATTAATATCAAAAATAGTGAATAAATTGAACTGAAAAAAGTATTTAACAATTAAATGGCCAAAACATAAAAAGAAAATTAAATTTAAAAATAAAAAAAAAATTATAAAGTGCTTAATTTTAATTTTATAGAATTTTATTTAAATAGTTTCAGTTGTTTTCTTAAACGTGGATTTACTCCCAAAATTTCTTTAACCTTCTTGACCAAAGTCTTCTGTGAATTTACGTAGTTTTATTAAATCATCATCATTCACTGTGGGCTTAGTACGTGATAAAGATTTTAACATATCACGCTAAAAGTAAAGAGAAAAGTCTTGATTATTTTTAAAAGTTTTATGTAAACTTAAAGATAAATTACCATGGTTACAGGTGGCTCGAATAATTTATCACTTGGCACATCCATCCAGGACATTTCCGTGGCACCTGCATCGCCCGGTGAACAGGGTACTAATAAATCATCCACGATTTCCTCTTTATTAACAGGTGAAGGACCCGTAACACGCTTTAAAAATATTTTATTTAAATGTTAAAACAAAAATATATTATTCGTTTTACTCACTTTGAAGTGTGTAGCAGTTTGTACTTTGCGTACTGGCTCCATAAGAGCATCACGCACGACAATTGATATATCGGCACCAGAATAGCTGCAAAGTTGTTTTAGTAAAATTTTGAATTTTTAGTGAAAATTTTTATTTTTAATGAAATTTTGAATTATTAGTAAAAAATTTTAACTTTTAGTGAAAACTTTAATTTTTAGTGAAAATTTTAATTTTTTAGGGAAAATTCATATTTAAAAAAAAATGTTTAAATTTCTATGGGAAATTTTAATCTATTTCTAAAAATTATCCCTGTGTAATCTTAACTAATACCTTATAGCTTTCCATTCTTTTGTAAAAGAAAATCGGCCAACTTACCCCTCCGTTTTGCCAGCCAACTCCTTCAGATCGGCCTCCGTCAAAACATGTGTTGTATTGCCCAAATGTATTTTAAACATAACTAAACGAGCATGAGCTTCTGGCAAGGGTATGTAAATACGTTTCTCAAAACGACGACGAATAGCAGAATCCAATACCCAAGGTATATTTGTGGCACCCAAAACCAGAATACCATCAGTATCATTGCCTACACCTTGCATTTGTACCAGAAATTCCGTCTTAATACGACGTACACTGTCGTTTTCATTGTCAGAACGAGCCGAACACATAGAATCGATTTCATCGATAAAGATAATGGATGGTTTATGTTGGCGGGCCAACTCGAAGAGATTCTTAACAAGTTTCTCAGATTCGCCCAGCCATTTTGACATAAGATCCGAACTGGAAACCGAGAAGAAAGTGGAATTGTTTGCCTCGGTGGCCACAGCTTTGGCCAAATAAGATTTACCCGTACCAGGGGGACCGAAAAGCAAAATACCCTTCCAGGGGATGCGTTTGCCGGTAAAGAGATGAGGGAATTTAATGGGTAAAATGACAGCTTCTTTAAGGGCTTCTTTGGCAGCATCCAAACCAGCCACATCGGACCATTTCACTTTGGGCTTCTCAATGACAATGGCGCCCTCCAGTTTACTTTGTAATTTCTTCTTTTCCGGATCTTCGCCATCCGAATCGCTGTCGCTTTTCTTGTCCTTGTCATCTCTGTAAAATAGTTTTTGTATTATGAAATAAAAAATAACATATTCCTTTTAATCTCAAACTCACTTTGAACTAGATTCACCCTCTTTGACTGGCTTCTTTTTGCCTTTCTTCAAATATTCCTTAAGTTTTTCAGCACGATCCAAATACTGCAGGCATTTGGCTCTTATCGAATCCTTTGCCTTCTCGCCCTGAGCTTCATCTATGAAATGGTTCAAATAAGTTAAATAAAAATAAAATTCCAGCTAAAAATAGGCTTACATTTTATAGCATGTAGAAAATATTCCACACCATGTTCGTATAGACGCAAAGCCTCTGCATAATTTTTATTACGATCCTCTTCCGTAGCTTTTGTTACTAAATCGATGGCTTTCTGTAAAGTAGTCCCCGATGCCATTATCCACAACTATTGCTATACGAATAAAAGAAACAATACACGAATCAATAAATGTATACTTGCAAATACTCCTATCAAGGTGTAGTAACTCCTTTACTGTGACATCATTGAAAACTAATAAAAGGTCGTTTGTTTATTCTATATTTGCTTCATTCCTTTTTAAAATCATTGAAATTTAAGACAGAATTTTACACAAACAATTGTATGATGACTAATGCAATCATCAATTTAGTATATTATTTTATGTGTATTTATGTTCTGGTATTTCATATTGTTTGTGGACACTATTTCTTTGGTTTTTATTTTCATTAGGTTGTTTACCTTTTATTAAAAAACTGGTTGAAGTTGCAAGGCTTATTTTTAAATTAATAATTATTAAAAAAATTAATGATTTTTATCGATTTCTAATGAAATTTTTTCTATTACAAATCAAGACGTAAGACGTAAAATTTTATCCTCGCACAACAACAACAAATATATAATACGATGATGCGTTCATCGTTTGACGTTTTCTTTCTTTCTTTCTTTCTTATCTTTGTTTTGTTTTTATTTTTAATGACATTTTGCAGCAGTGATGTCAATGAAGCACTAGACTCAAGAAACCGCTGATTTTTTTCCTTAAAAAAGATGTTTTCTTTTATTTTGAAGTAAAATAATTTAGAAGTAGAATTCTTTGGCATTGCAGTTATTTAGTTGGTTAGTTATAACTATAGTTATATAGTTAGTTAAATAAACACCTAAAACTCAACAAAATCGCTAATAATTTGTAACTACTCGCAAATAGGGTTCTATAGTTGAAACGAAACTTTTCGACTTTTCGACTTTTTGCATTTAGTTAAAAGTCGACTTTTCGACCTTTCGACTTTTTCCATTTTATGAAAAGTCGATTTTTCGACTTTTCGACCTTTTTCATTTATTTAAAAGTCGACTTTTAGACTTTTCGATTTTTAGTATTTTATAAATGGTCGACTTTTTGACCTTTCGACTTTTTCCGACTTTTCGACTTTTTCCGATTTTTTTCGACTTTTCGACTTTTTTCGACTTTTCGACTTTTTTCGACTTTTCGATTTTTTACGACTTTTTGACTATTTTCGACTTATTTCGACTTTTTTTCGACTTATCGACTTTTTTCGACTTTTCGACTTTTATTTACAAAGTCGACTTTTCGACTTTTTTCATAGACGATAGTCGAGTTATCGACTATTTTTTTTACTTTTTTCGAGTTTTTCCGACTATTTTAGAGTTTTTGACCTCTTTTCCACTTTTTTAAAATTTTCGACTATTTTCGACTTTTCGACTTTTTCCGACTTTTCGACTTTTTCCGACTTTTCGACTTTTTCCGACTTTTCGACTTTTTTCGACTTTTTTCGACTTTCTTCGACTTTTTTCGACTTATCGACTTTTTTCGACTTTTCGACTTTTTTCGACTTTCCGACTTTTCGACTTTTATTTACAAAGTCGACTTTTCGACATTTTTCATAGACGATAGTCGAGTTATCGACTTTTTTGGAACAAAATAGTCGACTTCGACTTTTCGACTTTTTTCGACAAAAAGTCGATTGTTCGATTATTCGAAGGTCGATTTATAGAACCCTACTCGCAAATAATTTGTAACTACTGGCAACCCCTGTAGTTACAGCTGATAATGACATTTCTTCTTCTTGTCCTATCACAAGTTTTTATTTCAATTCTCTTCATTTGTTGTAGTTGTAGTAGTGTATCGTAAAAAATTAACACAGAAAAATAATAAACACCAATGATTAACGGTTTTTTGTTGAATTCCAACGCTAAACAACTCAAAACAAAAATTGTGAACGGAAGCGGAAAGGAAAGTTTAAATAAAACAAATGACAATTAACATCTATTCAGCAAAAATTACTTAGAACATCTAGCAAAAGCAATTAAATTACATAATAAACAGTAACAATTACTTATAGAAAGTAAACATTGCTAAAAAGTTTGCAAAACATTGCTATTTAATTGTTTATTAAAAAAAAATGGAAAAAGAAAAAGATTTATATCGTGATACCTTGGTGCGTTATTTAGGTAAATATTCCCTTAAAATTTCTGATTGATTTCATTGTTTATTTACTATTTTTCGTTTAAATTTAGGTTATGCCAATGAAGTTGGTGAATCTTTTCGTAATTTAGTATCGAAAAATGTGGTTAGAGGCAGTTATGTTGTTGCTACCGGTTATGCTGTAGCCGATACTGTTGATAAAACCTATAAAGATTTTAAACAAAGTTCCTCTGTTAGCAGTGCTGGTATAACAGCTGTAGATGTCTTCCTCTGGCAAATGTTGGCCTCTGTTTCGATACCAGGTTTTACCATCAACAGGTGAGTAATGTGGAATTATTGGATTTTTTGTTCTAGAAGTTGTTAATTGTTGAAATTAATGTATTTGGTTTTGTTTTTTTATAAATATTTAATTAACACTTTAATTATACTAAAAAATATTGTTTTAATTGTGATAATTAACAATGTTTTATAAGCTCCACCATTATAAAGGGGTGGCCGCGGACATGAAATCTAATGCATTGTTCTCAAAGTTTACCAAACGAGACAGATTCATTTTCTAAGTTGATTTATTCCTTTATAATCCAATTATAGACCGCATTTCTATAGATAACTAAATAAAATGACACTGAAATTAGTCGTTTATCCCATACAAATCTATTAACTAAACTAGACTTTATAAATTGAATAGTTTACATCTAAAACAAACAGAATTTTTAGAAATTATTCTATAAAAAAGAGATATTTTTTAAAATTTGTCTTAAAAATGAGAAATTTTTTGAATTTTCAACATAAAAGGGAAATTCTGAAAATTTTCTGTTAAAAAAAAGAGAAAGTTTTGCAAATTTTCTATTGAAGTAAAGTAAAACTTTTGAAAATTATCTATAGAAAGTAGACATTTTTGAAGATAAGGGAAATTTTCGAAAAATTTTCTATCGAAAGTACAAAATTAATTTTTATTTTTCCCCTTTTTTACAGAATCACCTATTTCAGCGGGCAATTGCTGCGTAAAGTTAATGCCAAAAAATCTTTTGTGAAATTCCTTCCCGTTGCTATTGGTTTGTCTTCCATACCATTTATTATACATCCCATTGATCATTTTACCGATTATCTAATGGACAATACTTATCGTAAATTTTTTAAGAAAGCTTGAATAAAATTCATTATGTATAGTAAATGAAAATTAAAGTACATTTGTGTACGTACAAATAATGTTAGCAATAGTTTATTAAAAAAAAAAAAAAACAAAATGCCGATATTGTGGTTTAGTGCAATTTATTTATAAAATATTTGTAAAAAAAAAACAAGAACAACAACATTTATTAAGCAATATTTAGTACAAAATTGTATAAACTTTATTTCTAAGTATAGTTTATAAATAAATTAATGAACATGCCAATCTTAATAAAAATCTTGAAACAGTAAAATTCTCTTTAGTGGGTTCTATTAATAATTCCTAATGAATTGGGGTACAGATTTTACACTGTAACCAAAATAATAATTTTTAAATTTGAATAGGCTTTGAACGACTAGCTGTAAACAAAAGTCAAAATTTTATTACAATTTTAATAGAAAATTTTTTAACGCAAATAATATTTTTTTTTAAACAAAAATTTACTTAAATAATTGAAAATCCCATAAAGCATATATAAAATAATGTTCTCCTCATTACGTTTATATAGTTCGTTAACCAGATCCTTAAAGAAAATTAAAACATTTACTAAAATAGACAGCATACAACGACGCTATGCCTCTACCGAAGATCCGCGTGTAACGGTATGAAATAGAAAGTGTTTGAAAAGAATCGTTTGTTTTGCTAAAATATTGTTAATTGTTTAAATTTTAGAAAGGTTTAGTAATTGGTGTTTACCAAAAAGAGGGCGATAAAGATCCTAAATTAACTACTAGTGGTGAGAAATTTGATGATCGGGTGCAGGGCAAAGTTTCAGAATTGGTTAAAGAGTAAGTGTGAAAAACAAAAAAGTGACGTTTTGCAAACATGTGCTGATTTTTATAAATACTTAGATGCAATATTACGGGCCAATTGGGTAGAGGGAAAGTATTTAATAATATTGATCAAGAATATCGTTCGGTGGCTGTTATCGGTTTAGGACGGGAGGGAGCTGGTTTTAATGAATTGGAAATGATTGATGAAGGAATGGTGGGTAATCTTAAGAGAAATTTATAAATTTTATATAAAGAAATTTTTAAAAATATTCTATAAAAAGGAGAAATGTTGGAAAATGTTAATTAAAAAAAAGAAATTTTCGTAAATATTGCTAGAAAATTTATTATACAAAAGGAGACATTTTGGAAAATATTATGTAAAGGAATCGAAGATTTTCTATAAAAAGAGATAATTTTGAAATTTCTCTATAGAAATTTCGAAAACTTTCTATAAAAAACATTATTTTCTAACGAAAGAAATTTTTTCAAAGATTTTTTATAAAAAGAGAACTTTTTGAAAATTATTTTATTATGTAAAAAGAGAATTTTTCAACATTTTTCTATTTTCCATAAAAAGGGAAATTTTCACAAATTGTTTTAAAAAATTGATAATTTCGAAAACTTTCTATAAAAAAGTGAAATTTTTAAAAAATTTGTATAAAAAGAGAATTTATTTTAATTTTATATATAGAGGAGGAATTTTGAAAGATATTCCGTAAAAGGTGTTTTTCGACATTTTACTATAAAAGGATAATTTTAATAAAACTTTCTATTTATTGAGAAATTTTCGAAAAATTTTCGAAAATTTTGTATTTTAATTAGTTTTTGGGAATTATTTAAAAATTCCATTAAATTTCTGAACACAGGAAAATGCTCGTGTTGCGGCTGGTGTTGGAGCACGCACTCTACAATTGCAAGGTTGTTCTGAAGTATTCGTCGATTCTATGGAATATCCGGAACAAGCCGCCGAAGGCAGTGCCTTAGCTATATGGCGTTATAATGATAATAAACAAAAGAAAAACCGAACCCTAGTGCCAAAAGTGGAACTATACGACTCCCCAGATGTAGATGCCTGGACACGGGGCCTTTTCAAAGCAGAGGCACAAAATTTAGCAAGACGTTTAAGTGATGCACCAGCCAATCAAATGACACCTACCACCTTTGCCCAGGCCACGGTGGATGCTTTATGTCCATGTGGTGTAACGGTTGAAATACGTACCATGGAGTGGATTGAACAGCAACATCTTAATTCATTTCTTACAATAGCCAAGGGATCATGCGAACCTCCGGTCTTATTGGAAATAAGTTATTGTGGTACAGCGCCAGAAGATAAACCTATTTTGTTATTAGGCAAAGGCATGACTTTTAATAGGTAAATATTGAAATATTATAATGGAATGGAAAAGGATTGTGAAATTTCGATTTATTAGTGGAGGTATCTGTTTGCGTCCCTGCAAAAATATGGATGAATATCGTGGTGCCATGGCTGGGGCAGCAGTATGTGTGGCAGCTATACGTGCCGCCGCTGCTTTGTCGTTGCCCATTAACATTTCAGCTGTTATACCTTTGTGTGAAAATATGCCTTCTGGTATGGCTTGCAAGCCGGGAGATGTTGTTACTTTGCTAAATGGCAGGACATTGGCCATAAGAGTAAGTTTTAGTTGAAATAAAATTGCTTTTTATTTAATTGGGTTGTCTTTTAGGACACTGATAAAGCTGGTGTTGTATTAATGGCAGATCCTTTACTTTACGCTCAAACTACTTATAAGCCTCGTTTAGTGGTTGATATTGCCACTTTGGGGGAGGGAGTTGTTAAAGGTTTAGGCGGTGGTGCTACAGGTATATTTTCAAATTCTCATTATATTTGGAAACAATTCCAAAAGGCTGGTTCTCTCACCGGTGATCGCATGTGGCGTTTTCCTTTATGGTATTACTACAAAAAACTGGTTACAAGTAATATGATTTTATAAATATGGATAAAGAAATTTGGTTCAAAATTTATTGTATTTTTTTAGATAACATAAGTTTTGATATTAGCAATAATGGTGTGGGTCCAGCTTCAAGTTGTTTAGGTGCTGCTATTTTACATGTTAGTAGTAAATTTTGTTAAAATGTAAACGATTTTTCAATAATTTATAAAATATTTATTTAATTTATTTCAGGAATTCGTACCCTGTGTCGATTGGGCTCATTTGGATATACGAGGTGTGGGCATGCTAACACGTTTTGGCACTATACCTTATTTATTAAAAGATCGCATGACTGGCAGACCCACCAGAACTTTAATACAATTTCTATATCAAATGGCTTGTCCAGATGCCCAGGCTAAATAGTTACTAGCTTTAATTTAAAAACTAACTAAAAATCGAAAAATGCCTGTATAGACTGAATGTGTCGTGTCGTTTTAGTAAATTGTTCCAGTGTTATGTTGTATTCGATGAAAATATTTTGTGGTCAAAATCAAATTAGTATTGTAATGTATTTTTAACTATATTTTGTGATTTTTATTTGTTTATTTCTTGTTTATAAAAGCAGTCTCTTGGAAATGTTTTAAATTAAATAAAACGTATTTTAGAAAAATCTTAAAATTCATTAATTTGTAAAAATCTTTTATTTCTACTTGATTGAAATTAAAAAAAGGTAATCGTTTCTTTTTTTAAAATCCTACTTTTCTACTTCAATAGGCTTTGAAATAAACAACTAATAAATTTGTCAAAATTTTATTTTAATTGAACAAATTTTTTTGAAACTTAAATATTTTTTTTTACTTAAAATTTTCTTTAAATAATATAAAATACATAAAACGCTTAATAATGTTTTCGGGGCGTTTAGTAAGTTCCCTAACAAAATCTCTAGAGAGATTTAAAGATATAAGCAAAATTTTGTTGACGCGACACTATGCATCAGCAGAAGATCCCAGAGTAACGGTAAGTAAAACTATAGTTCCTAAAGAGCGAATAGATATTAATTGTTTTTAACTTGTATGTTTAGAAAGGACTTGTTATTGGCGTTTTCCAAAAAGAAGGTGATAAAGATCCGAAATTAACTTCTAGTGGTGAGAAATTTGATGATCGTGTTCAGGGCAAAGTTTCTGAATTGGTTAAAGAGTAAGTGTCAAGTGTGGGGCAAATGTTTTTCTTTAAAATAAAAATATGTATATATTATGCAAATAGATGCAATATCACCGGCCAATTGGGTAAAGGCAAAATATTCAATAATATTGATCAAGAATATCGTTCAGTAGCTGTAATTGGTTTGGGCCGTGAGGGAGCAGGGTATAATGAATTGGAAATGATAGATGAAGGAATGGTGAGTAAACATATTGTAGAATTTTGGAAGTTATTAAAGTTTTTGTTATAAATCTTGAACATTTTAAATCGTGCTTAGTTTTAAGAGATATAATCAAATATGTTAAACTTACCCTAAATTTCCACAACAGGAAAATGCTCGTATAGCGGCTGGTGTAGGAGCACGTACTCTACAATTACAAGGTTGTTCAGAAGTGTTCGTAGACTCTATGGAATATCCGGAACAAGCCGCCGAAGGCAGTGCCTTAGCCATATGGCGTTATCATGATAATAAATTGAAAAAGAACAGAACTCTAGTGCCCAAATTGGAATTATATGACTCGCCAGATGTAGATGCCTGGACGCGGGGACTTTTCAAAGCAGAGGCACAAAATTTAGCAAGACGTTTAAGTGATGCACCGGCCAATCAAATGACACCCACCACCTTTGCCCAGGCCACGGTGGATGCTTTATGTCCATGTGGTGTAACGGTTGAAATACGTACCATGGAATGGATTGAACAGCAACATCTTAATTCATTTCTTACAATAGCCAAGGGATCATGCGAACCTCCTGTATTATTGGAAATAAGCTATTGTGGTACCTCGCCGGAGGATAAACCTATTTTATTGTTGGGTAAAGGCATGACATTTAATAGGTAACTTTTCAAATAGAATATGGAAATAGAATATGATTTGAAATAATTATTATTTGTTAGTGGTGGTATTTGCTTGCGTCCCTGTAAATTTATGGATGAATATCGTGGTGCCATGGCTGGGGCAGCAGTATGTGTGGCTGCCATACGTGCTGCGGCTGCTCTATCGTTGCCCGTTAATATTTCAGCTGTTATACCTTTATGTGAAAATATGCCTTCGGGTATGGCTTGTAAACCGGGAGATGTTGTTACTCTACTTAATGGCAGGACTTTGGCGATAAGAGTAATTTTTGTTTAAATTCAAATTGCTCTTTACTTAAATTCTTATTGTTTAGGATACTGATAAAGCTGGTGTTGTGGTAATGGCGGATCCTTTACTTTATGCTCAAACTACCTATAAGCCTCGCTTAGTTATTGATGTTGCCACTATGGGTACAGGTGTTGTTAATGGTTTAGGTGGTAGTGCTACGGGTATATTTTCAAATTCTCATTATATTTGGAAACAATTCCAAAAGGCTGGTTCCCTGACCGGAGATCGTATGTGGCGTTTACCATTGTGGAACTATTATAAGAAATTAGTTACAGGTACAGATGCTTTAATAGTCACAAATGTCTGAATATCAATTTGTTTCTTTCTTATAGAAAATGTAAGTTTCGATATTAGTAATGATGGTGTTGGTCCAGCTTCAAGTTGCTTAGGAGCTGCTATTTTACATGTAAGTTGGGATAATTAATAAAAATTTTAAAAATTATTAAAAAATGTATTTGTTTAAAAATATTTCAGGAATTCGTACCCTGTGTTGATTGGGCTCATTTAGATATACGCGGTGTGGGCATGTTAACACGCTTTGGTACCATACCTTATTTATTAAGAAATCGCATGACTGGACGTCCCACCAGAACTTTAATACAATTTCTATACCAAATGGCTTGTCCGGATGCACAGGCCAAATAGTTATAACATGTTAGAAAATGACTGGGAAATGAAATGATGTTAAGTGTTACATGTGCTGATGAAAGTAAGGCGCCTAAAACAAAATTCTATTGACTTTTATATTTTGTGGTTTTTATTTGTTTATTTTAGTGTATATTTTATATTCTTCAAATATATATTAATTTTGTAGAAAAATTCTTACTTTTGCTTTGATTGTAGACCACAATTTTTAAATCTCTGATTTATTGCTTAAAGATAATTATAAAAAATATTTTCAATATACAATAGTAAAGTTAATTTTATATAAAATTATAGAAAAAAAAACCAAAACAAAATGCTAATCCACTAAATAAGGGCTATCTAATGCACCCAAACCGGCTGCAACACCGCCCTCATTGGCAGTAGATATTTTAGTACGCAACATATGACCAGCTTGATAATTACAAATGATATTATCAACATCTCCAATAACTACACCGAAAATGCCCAATTCTGATACAACATCAACTACAGGTGGAGGCATAGGTCCACCGGGACGTATCATATAACCTTTGGTGACAGGTGGTTGTATAAGATCCATTAAAATCCAAGCAGAACGTTCTACTCGTGTCATTTTCTATACAGAATTTAAATTATCAACTCTGTAACTAACTACATATACTAAAAACAACAAAAAAAAACTTACCCTTAAAACATCGGGAATATCTAAACCATAAACATTATTACCGCCTCCTTCACGTTGAGGTTTCAAAACAAAACGTTCGGGTTCTTTTAAGGCCATCTCATAGGTTGCATTACCTACATCGTTATCTTCCAAAGAATAAAGACCAGTAAATATTTTACCAACTGCCTTAATTTCTTCCGGGTCATTGATAAATCTTTCCAACATTTCAGGTTGTGCTAAAGCCTGTTGCACTTTCTTGGTGCCAGCCAAGTGATAATGTATCGAAGGACATTTAATAGCAGTAGAACACTCCATTAAATAACGTGCATCCCATTCATTTTGTGAGTGATAATGTCCAGGTTCATAACCAGCACGGAAATATATAACAGCTACTTCATAATCTTCTCTGGAGATATCAAAGAAATATATTTTTTAATCTTAATCTTAATTTAAGAGTTATTTTTGTAAACTTACACAATAAGCTCTTTTTTTAAGCTTAATTTTCCATGCTCATGGACTTGGGTTAAAGTACGTCTTAATACTTTAATGTGTGGACATTTTTCGCGTATATAAAATTCATGAAATCTCTGTAAATATGACAAAGTTAATAAAATTTAAATATTTTCACTCAAAGATATAAGAAATAAGTGTTATAAAATTGTGGGGCAGAATCAGAATTTTGATAAATAAATACAAATCTTATTATTCACTGTTCTGGCTGACCTCTTGATACATGTTTTGAAAAAGCAGAACACGGCATTAATTTGCCTTCTAGTAGTGATAGTAACTAATTGATATTTAGCTTTATTTTAAAAGCGTTTACATTTTAGACATTCGATTTACCTCAAAAACTTTGCACAATATATTGAGAACAAAAATTAATTGCACTTTTAAATATGAAAATAAATAGATAATGCTTACCTGATCGCAAATATTATAAGAAACATCCTCAATAATAAACATAATAACAGCATTTGGATTATTGTAAATCTCCCAAGCACGTATCATGCCATCGCAAATACCAGATAAAGCCTTATTTTCAGGCATCTAAAATTAACAAAAAACAAATATGATTGTAAATTTATTTAATTACAAAATAGACAAATTAAACTTACATTCTTTAGCTTCCCATATTGACCCATTTCTCCCAAAACATAGCTATAATAAGAAAAACATTATATTAGTTAAAAATTTAAAAAAATATTGCCAAATACATACACACAACATACATATATAGAAAAAATACATTAAAAACGCTTACAAATACCCTTTTTGTACATAAATCTAATATAAATACCATGCATTAACAGTAAGTTTAAAAAAAAGAAAATGAAGGGAAAATTATTCTAGAAGAAAAAAAAAAAACTAAAAGATGTAGCATTTAAACCAATTCTTTTTCGCACAATATCAATGATGCCCAACAAAAATTTAAAAACTGTGAACTATAGAATGTAAAGTAAAAAAAGTTTTGAAAGTACCTCTGTAGAGGCAACATGTGTGTGGATATGCCACCAAAACTAGAGGCAATGGTGTTGATTTCAACTTGTTTAATAGCATTTTCTTCAGACGTGTGAGCCAAATAGTCAGAACGTAAGATACCAAGGGATAAGGCCTGTAATTGTACATATAACAAAAAACAAAAAAAAGAAACAGAAAACAACGACATGAAAAGAAAATTTTTAATTTAATAAAATATTTGTTAAAAAAATATATTATTTGTTTAATTAGTATTAACCGTTGGAGGTATTTTATTTGATTAAATGATAGATGAATTGCATTGGGAGAAGTAACTTGATTTTTCTAAGACGGGTCATTTGAAAAGCAGCTCACTCTAATTAACAAAATAATATCGTACGTAATTTTGCGAAAAAGAATCCCTGGCCGAACTGTGTGCCATCATAAAAAACGCATTCAAGAAAATATAATTTAAAAAATAAACAATATTAGTTTTTACGCTATAACAGCATGCATGGAGCTTAGGCTTAAAGCACTATTTACTATTATAATAAATCAAATTCGAAAAAATAATTAAAAATATTTTTTATGTCTAAGATAAAAAAAGTTAATTAAAAATAATTTAAATAAAAAATAAGCAATGTTTTATAAGAATTATTCAATAAATCTAGGGAAGTTTAAAGAAGGCGAATAACTAAAATAAAAACTTTAGTTTATCTGCTTTATAAATAACAACCCTTTATAAACTATTAAAATGTAGAAAAATACAATTACAATACTACTTTTAATACAGCGACTAAAACTCGAGACAAGAAAGAAACATAATTATTATATAATTAGCACCTTTGTATGGCTTTACTGGCTGGTCCTAAATGGCCAAAACCAGACGCTATAGTATTAATTTCAACTTGTTTCCAGCAACAGAAGGCACAGGGTTTTTCACTTTTAACTGTTATTTCTAAGTCTTTACATCTAGATTCCAACATCAAATCACTTCGCAAAATGCCCAACGATATGCGCTTCATTTTTTTAAAGTGAATAAAGAAAAATAATAAATAAAAAAAATAAAAAATTATAAAATGTAATTAGGAATAAATGTGGATAAAGCTAGAGAAATAATTTAAATAATAAGCATAGAAAATATTTAAGTAACAACTATGGAAAAATATTTTTGAGATTGATTTATATGTACATATTAACAAATTTTTTACAAATATTATTAATATAATATATAGAATTCTTATTCACTATCGCTAATAATTTTATTTTTTTACCATTTTTAATTCACTTAACTAAAATTTTTTTAAGTGAAGAAAATGGTAAACGAATGAAGAAAAACAAGGAATACATATAAATTGAAATTTACATTCACGACAAATGAAATCATCAGTAAATTGGTATGTTGGTTAATGTTATACATTTTCTAATCAAAAAATACCGATTTATTATATTTTGTTTTCGTTCAGGAGGCAACTTTGAGGATTAGATTAAAAGATGTTTACATGAACATTTACATCAATTCGAAATTGGCTGGAATCACATAGATAATGTAAAAATTTATATTTTCTTGATCTAACAGCAAAATTCGGAATTTTATTCTGGAATTGGTTACAGTTCTTTCCAATGATTTTTATATCTAACTTTCAATTCTAAGTATGCACTTTTCTAATAGCCTCCGATTTCCTAATTGAAAGTTTAATTAAGACGATAATGAGAGTACTATGTATTTCAAAGGTGTTAATGGGGGAAAAAGAGTAAAGTTTCAGACCGAATAACAGTCCTATCTATCTATCTATCTATCTATCTATCTATCTATCTATCTATCTATCTATCTATCTATATCTATCTATCTATCTATCTATCTATCTATCTATCTATCTATCTATCTATCTATCTATCTATCTATCTATCTATCTATCTATCTATCTATCTATCTATCTATCTATCTATCTATCTATCTATCTATCTATCTATCTATCTATCTATCTATCTATCTATCTACAGTGGACGTCCAATAGTACGTATACTCTTTATTACGAATATCCAATAATACGAATGGCAAAATTGTTGCATTGTCTACTCTATAGTACGAATAAAGTCACAATTTTTCTGTTCGATAGTACGAATAACGCATTTTTTATGGGAATTTTGGTTTTATTTACGTATGAATGAAGTTTTTATTATGTTTTTATTTTATTATTTCGGTATCATTCACCTTAAGCTCAGTAATTTTGAAGTTTTTTTGTATTTATTACAAGTGTTTTGTATTTTTAAAAATCCTATACACACAATTTACTGCATGTATATTTACAAATCAACAATTATTTAGTGTTATTAATTTATTTTATTGGAATTTTGATGACCCAAGAGAAGAAATTACATTGGATGATAACGCCAATGAGGAAAGTATTTTATTAGTTCCCGACAATAACTCTGCTGAGAACAATATTGAAGCCTCAAAAGCGCTGTTATTGAAAAAGCCGTAAAAATCATTTTACAATGTAATAAACATCGATGTTAAATGATGGATTTTTTAATAAGTAAAATGCTATTTATATACATATGTATGTATGAACTGTTAATTTTGAAAGTAGTGTGACTCCACATTCCGAACAATGGGTTTAAGGATGTCCCTTTTATGCCTGTTTATGTACAAGAAATTTATTTAAAATAATACACATTTATAATATTTTGTTCCGTTATGTAATTTTTCATGAAAAATAAAACAAAAATAAATAAAATCCAATATTTTATGTGTATTATTTGAATTTAAACATACAAAATGTGTTGTTCAATAATACGAATTTTTCGGTATTACGAAAGGGCCTGACACTATATAATTCGTACTAGTGGACGTCCACTGTATCTATCTATCTATCTATCTATTACTATCTATCTATCTATCTATCTATCTATCTATCTATCTATCTATCTATCTATCTATCTATCTATCTATCTATCTATCTATCTATCTATCTATCTATCTATCTATCTATCTATCTATCTATCTATCTATCTATCAATCTATCTACATAATTCAAATGTTTATAAAGGGAAACATTTTAAAATATATTACAAAAGAACGTGAGGCAGTCTGACCTTCACCATATGTTTGTATTTACATTGTCAAGGTAACACTCTCTATAAATCTGTTGCCTTGAATTGTGTTAGATAATTGCCTAAGCAATATTGTATGATATGCTTAAATGATAAGAATACTATTAATCCAACAACATACCTGACCAAAACCATTAGCCAACACTTTCTTATAAATATTAAATAAATTTCCAGTAAATTCATCAACTTTTATTGTTTCCGCCAAAGTGGTGGTCAAAAATTCTTCATCATGAGCCACATTATGCATAAGACGATTTATAATAACCTGCAAAGCGACAGCCTTTTCAAATTCTTTGCGTGGAAACGAGGAGGGTGTCAATAAGAAGGGAGCAAACTGCAATTATGTTAATCCATTAATATCTTAAGTAATTTTATGTATGAAAAATACAATGATTACTCACATTTAAAGAATCTGGACTAAAATTAGTTTTAGAACGCATAGCAGCCCCATGCATAATAGCCCAATCTTTGGCTTTTTCGGTAACTTCGAGCAATAATGGTTCGGGTATGGGTATAGAAATACATTCTTCCAAAGTAGGATTTTCGGACATTATTATTGAAGTTGTTTTCTTTTACAGTGAATTAATTAATTTTCCTGTTTAAGTGCTAATGTAGTATTTTTATCTTGTCCGGAGCACAGTCACTGTATAAACTGTACAATAACAAAAATATATTTAAAATAGATAAACAAACGACTACATGAATTAGCAATTTTTTTATGATGAAATATGATTACTTTAAAATTTTTGTTTTAATTTTTTACTTTTTGATTTTATTTAAAGCTTACATGTGTATGTGCGTGTTTTTGTTCGTATTCGCGTGTTTTTTTATTGTAATTTATTTACACATTTACTACCAAAGTGTATTTATAAAATGACGACAATCAGAATTTTTTTGCTTTGTTATTATTTAATTTATTAACACTTAGTTAGTTTATTACTGAAGGAATGTTTTACTTTAAATTTGGGAAGTTTAATAGTACCAAAAATATGTAAAAATTTAATATGAAAGAGCTGTATATTGGCTAGAAATTTGATAAGAATGCAAACTTTTAAGTTTTTTTTTGCTTTTCTTTTGTTGTTTTCCAATCAGATGATTGTGTTTGGTTGCCAGATGGTAAAATTGATTTGTGTTTTTATGATAAAAAGGGCGATTTTAATAAAAAATAATTTAATTTAAAAATTTATCTAGATAAATATCTACTGAGAGCATATAATGGTTTAAAATAAAAATGTTTTCTTGTTTTCATAAATTCCAAATTTTATTAATGATAAAGTGTTGTGAAAAACAGTTCTGGCAATACCAAACAAACAGGGTGTTATGCTCAGTGACACTAAAAACTGTTACAATTTAAAAGTGTTTCACTCAATGCGTTTGTGCTTATATCTGTAACGCATAAAAATATTGATGATTGATCAGAATCCTTTTCTGAGACAATTGAGCAATATGCGCCAGTCCATATACATATTGTATTTATACTACAGGTTAAAATCTTAAAGAGAAATGAATGCAACTTGTCACATTATCTTTTATTGCTCCAAGGACGAGCTTCTATAAATCTGAATCTCAGAATTTATATCAGGTTTTCGAGATATCATGTCATGAAGTTTGAAAAGCACTTTTTTGCCATATTTGAGAAGCCATAACAGCGCGAAGATACCTTTATTTATAAAATTTGTTATGTCATCTGAAACTCCAACTTATCGACTTTAGAATAAAGGTTTAACCACTGTTAACCACAACTAAACGATATCTCAGAAAAGATAAAATTTTGGATACATTTTGAGCAGATTCGTATTCAACGCTGCTAAATACTTTAGAAAAGTATTCTTTGGTCTCTGAGTTAAACAATTGTTGGTTTGTCTTATAGACCGAACGATTTTTTAATTCAAGTTAGTGATTAGTTCTGAATAATAAATCATTTTAGACGAATTTTTTTTAATGCTTTGTTTTTAACCGATAGAGATCATATATCGGTAAATTGTGGATCGTTCCTCATAAAATTTGATAGAAATATTAGTTCAGAAAGATCTGATTTACACTAGAACACAAACCACTAACCTACCGGATGCCAATATTCATTTTCTTAAAAAACCTAATGTGGATCAATTTTGTTAATTTTCAATACCAAGGAAACTGCATGAACATAAATTTCGGACCTCTATCTAGAAAGAATGACGAAGATGGCTAAATAGAATTTAATAAAGAAACAGAGAATTATATGCTTTGGTGGGTTTACGGTCAAAATATATCGATGTGTTACAAACAAAATGATTTAAACAATATATTTTTTGATTATCGTTATTAACGCTTGGATCAAGAAAAACAATCACTATTTTTTAAATAATTTTTCAGTTTTTTTTTATTATACTTCATCAAATTTTCATATATAGTTACAGAAAAATCTTTCTGATTGCATTACTAAATATTTGTTTGGTATTATCTTTTGTTTCATTTCATAAATCATGATGAATCTCGGTTATTTCTTTCATTTATGTTTTGTTGGTTTTGTTCTTAGTAGCATGTTGTTGTTGCAATAAATGAAAAAGAAAATGTATGCAGCCCGGCGCCAATTTCAAACTCATAATAATAGTAATTATTTATAGATTTTTTTTTTTTTGTTGCAATTTTGTTTCGTTTTTATTAATTTTTAGCTTGATATTAATGTGTTTGTTTTTTTTTAAGATTAAAATAACAAAGAAAACCATTATTTTGTTAATTATTTGCTTTTTTGTTTTTTTATAGTAGGTTTTGTTTATGTTTTAGAGTTGTTTGTTGTTTTGATCAACTTCAAATAGAAATTACACATTACACAGAGTTTATTATATTTAATTATTTATATATTTATATGTATATTTTAGTTTTTCTTAAGATTTCTTTTCAAAATATGGTATTTACTCTTATATTTTGTTTTAATTTAAAAAAAAGTAACGTGTTTAAAGAAAAATAAAGTAAGAAATATACATGTGTGTATGCAAGAAAAAAAGTTTAGAAGCCAACAAATTACAATTGTAATGTGATTTTAGGCTTTAAAGAACTGCTTAAAACCTTTCATTTAAAATTGTAATTTATTTGCTGTTTAGCTTTACATAATATTTTTTTTATTTTTATATATTTTTTTTTTGTTTATTTAATGTCCAGCAGCCTCAAGATAATAAAAATTAAAAAAATAGTGTGTGTGTATAGAGAAATGCAAACAAAAAGTTATAAATTTAAATACGATAAAAAAAAACACAGTTAAATAAAACACACCCTAGTGATTTAAAAGGAAAATAAACTTAAAACTAAACAAAGAAATCAATAAAACTAGTTTTTTAAGAAATAAGAAAAAGAAAATAACACTCCCTTAAATAAACCAGTTTAAAAAATTATTGTTGCTTTTACTTTACTTGCAACAGGAGTGTTATAAATGTTGTAATTAATAGTTTTTTTAATATTAGTTTAGACTTGAGAAAACAAAACCTTTAATTTTAAAAATTTGCTAAATTATTTCTTTTTTTTGTAAGTTATTATCATACTAGTTAAAAAGTTTGCATAGGACTGTGCTAATTTTCTTTTTTTTTTAATTATTAAACGGAAGTATTGAAACAATTATTATAAAGCAAAACGAATTTTTTTTTAACAGTTAACATACGTTTTAATGCAGTAGCCATGTTTTAAATTGTGTAAGCTCTAGTTGATGTGTTAAGTGTTCTTGTTTTAATGATTTTCTGTAACTATTAAATGCGGCAAACTAGGGAAAAACTATGTATAATTTTTTAAGACATAAAGGAAAAAGAGAATTTTTTATATAAAGGAGTATAAGAGAGCTTAAACAAACACAAAATATAAGCAGCAATAGAAATATTCATGATAAAAATATTTAAGTTTTTTTTTTTTTTTTTGCTAAATTAGGTTTCGTTTGTCGTAAGTGAAAACGTAAAAAGTTTAATTAATTATTTAAAAAAAAAGAAAGAAATATGAGTTTTTGTTTTCTTTACACTTAACTAGGTAAATTGATTTTGTTTGTTATACGAGTTTCTTTTTTTATATTACGTTTTTTCTTTTGAAATATTTGCTGCTCTTCTCTTAAGGATTTAAGTTTGTTTTTTATTTAAATTTTACTGATTTTTTTTTATTATTTTTGAATTTTGTATGTTGCAAATTTGTTTTCTTAATTTCTTTTTTTTTTATTATTATTATTATTTTTCTTCTGTAACATGCAGCTTTTTATTTAAAACTGCTAGCAAAACACAAAAAACATAACACTCATTTTTGTTTCTGCATCTTCTAGTTAGATGTTCAGAGTACAAATTTGCCAAATATAATACCAAAAATTATAGCAGCGATAGCAATCGCTATATAAAACATTGGAATTTGATTCTCAGCCATAACAGGAGTATAGGGTTCACCCATGGGGGGTTTAGAAGGTGATGATCGATTTCTGATTATTTCCTCCTAAAAAAGAAAAGTTATTGAAAAACAAAATAATTAAATAATTTCAACAAATTACCTTTATTTTCAACAATTCTTTTCTCAAATTACTGTTTTCTTCCCGCAACTGTCTGAGTTCATTTGTCTGCCATTCAGTTTGATCCGAATTATCCAGATTAAGGATCTAAAAGAAAAAAACCAAGAATTCTTTTAAAATATTCTAAATAATTAAACACTAACAAAAACTAACCTTTTCTTCATTCTTAACTTTAAGAGGTTGCGAAGCCTCAGTTTTAACAGCTTTAACAGCGGTTGCTGCTGTCTCTTCACGATGACCTTCTGGCATTTCAAAGACACACTTCAATTTGGCATCCATAAAGTGTTCTGGTGGCAATTCCTTCCACTTTTTTTTAGAATTTCAAGAAAAACAATCAGATATATTAAAAAAAAATTATAACAAATTCACTTATCATAAAAAACAGCACAATAAGACAAATAACAAACACAAAATAAATCAAAACTAAAAAAACAAATATTTACAATATTTACATATTTGTTGGGATCCTGTGGTTTTTCATTTGAGGGGCTCACAATACTTTGCACCATAAACTTATGCTTATTTTTTCGAAAGGATCAAAATTGAAGGGTTGCAAACAAACTGTAAATGAGGTTGAAAATAAAATTTCATTACTTAATAAACGAGTTGCAGTAATAATTTTACTCACTTTCAACAGAAACGCTATCATTTGGAGAAACGCAACCGAAATTTGGACGTACACAATAACGTTTTGGAGCGGTTGTTTTAATTTTAAACAAAATGGTTTCATCCGATGGATTCGTAAGTTTAAGTGTTGTTATAACTGGACTAGTAAATGGACCTTGAAATAGAGTAAGGAAAGTGATTAAATATATTGTTAAAAACAAAATAATTTTTTTATTAAAATAACATCATTAAACCCCATTTTCACTACCTTCAGTTATCGTTTACCAGGTAGTTATTCTATCAGTTAAGACAATTTTTATATGGGAACTGTATATATTCCGAGGCCTTATAGTTAGCGGAATCGTATCAAATATTTGATGAGGCACTATTTTTTATAATTTATATAATTTTTCGATCCTATTAAGTAAAAATATATTCCGAGGTCTTATACATAGCGGAATCGAATAAGCTGTGTCTGTCTGTCCGTCTGTATGTTTGCTGAAATCAAAGATCTGATGACCCCAGACATCTTCGGGACCCAAATCTTTAACAATTCTGTCTGACCGAACTAACTAACTAACTAACTAACTAACTAACTAACTAACTAACTAACTAACTAACTAACTAACTAACTAACTAACTAATTAACTAACTAATTACTACTAACTAACTAACTAACTAACTAACTAACTAACTACTAACTAACTAACTAACTAACTAACTAACTAACTTAACTAACTAACTAACTAACTAACTACTAACTAACTAACTAACACTAACTAACTAACTAACTAAAAGTAAGTAAGTAAGTAAGTAAGTAAGTAAGTAAGTAAGTAGTAAGTAAGTAAGTAAGTAAGTAAGTAAGTAGTAAGTAAGTAAGTAAGTAAGTAAGTAAGTAAGTAGTAAGTAGTAAGTAAGTAAGTAAGTAAGTAGTAGTAGTAAGTACGTAAGTAGTAAGTAAGTCCGTACGTAAGTCCGT